AGGGAGCCGAGCGGAAGTGCGCTTGTAAATCTGTCGGAGTCGCTTCCTGTCTTGGGTGGTGGCTTCAAACTTTCTTACTCGACTTCATTCCTCTGTGTGGGAATGAGAGTTGGAAGAAAACTAGTTGTATAAAAGCGGCATACTGTGCAGCTGAAGAAGTGTTGTTGTGAACGGCGTCGTTTGTTCGACTAATCTTGATACAGTTCTCGCGGAGGGAAAGTAAATATCGAGTTAAAGTCATGCAGGCCATCAAGTGTGTGGTCGTCGGGGACGGGTGAGTAACTTTACCGCCTATGACTCTGTACTGACAGTTTCTCACCCTAAACATGACTGGGCTCACTTTGTTTCACTGGCTGTGTCTCGAAAGCCTAGTAACCGCAACATTAAACAGCTTTTTGGCGTCAAAGACGCGCGTGAGCTTCAACGTGACGTCGCGCGCATTATCTGAGGCTCGGAGTGCGTGTGACGTCACAACTAGGTTCTGATGGTCAAACTAACTAAACTAGAAACACTCCTGTGATGCCAGAAGAGTGGCTTATAGGCAGCTCCCTAGGTGTCAAGACAACAGCTCCGTTATAGGGCCCGTAGTGATGTTAGAACTGACCCTCAAACAAACAATTGAACATGAATGGAAACTAAAGCCCATATATTTATGTCTTTAGTGTTTCTATAAACGCGTAGGGCATCTGCATTCAAAACGTGCCGTGGTACTACCATGGTTTTGTGGATTTAGTGCCATAGTATCACCATAACAGGGCTCTACGCTAGGAGCACAGTCAAAAATGTAGGAGCACCTTCTAATCAATAATCCAAAATTTGATCAAAAAATGTGCCTTCCCATTACGAGGTGATATTTGACTCCTTAAAGTGGTTTACAGTGGAATTTAGTTTTGACCTTTTGTAATGGCATTTTTCAAACTTTATTAAAAGTATGTCATCTTTTATGTCAAATTTTTTTTAAATGATATTTTATAAGCTTTTTAAAAGTTCATGGAATAAGAAGAATAAGTTACTAATCAAATGAAATCAGTATTTGTACACAGAAGAACACAAAAGTGGCTTGCCGGTGTATTTTCAGACATTTAATGAGGATCAGAGGTGGTATGAGTGCAGTTAAATCCATAAATTCATGGTAAGATTAATGTTTTAAAAAAATGATGAATATGGAAATATTAAATGAATATTAAAAGAACTGAAAAGATACTTTAAAAATGAAACTAAAACTGCCAGCAGGTGGCGACAAGTCACTGATTTTATCACGGAATCATTCATTCAATTGATTCATTCAAACGGCTGATTCATTCAGGAATGAAGCAAGTGACTTCATTTATGAATGGGTTATCGTGAATCACTGACTCACTAGATTTGTTTAAAAACACAGTTCATTCATAAACGAGACACCGCTGTGTTTGAATGGAGATGCGCAGCGGCCCAGCTGTGACTTTGTTTCAAACCATTTTCAACGACGAAATAGAGCAAAATCAGACAATAGTGTTATAGTCAGACAATGTAAGTCACTTAATATTAGCTTCCATTCATAAATGAAACACCGCTGTGTTTGAATGGAGGAGATGCGCAGCGGCTGAGCTGGGACTTTTTCAAACTATTTTCAACGACGAAATAGAGCAAAATCAGACAATAGTGTTATAGTCAGACAATGTAAGTCACTTAATATTCCAGCTGTGACTTTGTTTCAAACCATTTTCAACGACGAAATAGAGCAAAATCAGACAATAGTGTTATAGTCAGACAATGTAAGTCACTTAATATTAGCTTCTTGTCTATTGAACTGTTGTATTAAATCAGTATCACATTTACAATCTCCCTTAAAAATCATTAAAAGCTGTCACTCATCTTAGCTCATCGTGATCTCACATTTATAATCAATGAAGCTCTCTACCCCGCGCAATGAATCTCTTATTTACACCCTATTCGTGAGATATGTCTGTGATGCATTACTCAACGCTGCAAAAACACGTAGAAACCTTTGAAGCTCCCCTGAGCGCAATCACAAGTATGATGATGATCGGGGTCAGTCGCACTGGTGCTCCTAAATATGTTTTCATAGTCGCACGCAGTAGTTTTCAGTCGCAAATGCAACTGAAATGGTCGCACTGTAGAGCCCTGCGTAATATCAGCCGATGATAAAAAAAACAGTTCATTCGTCCATGCGTTTCTTTCCACATAATTTGCTCAAATCTTGAGTTCTTTGTATTTTAGTTGTTTAGCCAAGTTAATGATTGCAATATTAACGCTTATCTAAGTCACCTAAATATGAGTTTCTCATTGACCAAGCATACACACACAGTCTTAAGTGCTGCATTCGACATATTCATTGGATTTCAGTCGAAATCAGCACTGTCTGTGATCAAGAAACACCCCTACGTCAAACACAGAATGTGAATTTATGATTGTTTTAGCAGACCGAGATAACTTCAAGCTTCAGTAGGTGTACAGTAAGGTCATAGCTGGACTTTGAGCTGTACTTTATAATAAATAGACTGAATCCGTCAGGCGTCGCTCAATCTTTCATAGCTTTTGCTGATTCATGAGTTTGTATGCTGTACTTGATCAGCCAGACAATTAAAATATTTTTTTATGGCTGTCTGTCAGTAGATTAACTCTATAATGTCTACTATTTGATACCTCTAAATTATTAACACAATCAAAAAGAACCAGTTGTAAGGCCTTTTAGGCAAACGATCCACATTCAAGTTGTAATACATGTGCTTTTGATGTGAAATCATAAAGAATAACTTTTAGATTTTTGTAATATTTCAAGATGAACATTTACTGGACTGATGCAACTTTTACTTGATTATCCTTGCATAATGTTTCAGAAAAAAAACATGTTAGATGTGACACATCAGGCTTTTGAGCCTCTAAGCATTAAATAATCTTTCCAAGACATGTTATTGGGAGATACATACATTCTTTTTGGACATCTAAATATCAGCAGCTGCTCCAAATTTCATATTTGTACACGGTTTGGGCCTCTGAACAGATTTGATGTTTTATAGCAATAAAATTATCATCAATACATCATTCCAACATATTATATATTCCATGATACAAAACACATGCAGGTCTAAGAGTTCAATAAACTGTTCCATTTAAAAATATATATATATTGTTACTGTTATTTCATGTGTCATATGACAGGGTTAAAATATTTAATTACAATATTTTTTTTTTCATAGTTATGTTAATGGACACACTTCATCTTAAGAAAAGAAAATGAAACGATATATTTGTGGATGACATTTGATTCATGACAGCATATTTTTATAAAATTTAAAAAAAAATTATTTGCTATTTTTATGAACCGTCAATAAAGAAAAAAGGTTAACAAATGTAACACAGGCCTCTTATTATTTGCCTGCTGATGAAAATTCAAATGGCTTTCAGGAAGGTAAAAAGTACAAAATGTTACGTCACTTTCTGGAAATCTCCTCCCTTATGTGCTAGTCATATGAGAACTGTTTTGACAGACTTCACCAGACCAGTTTTTCAGTGGTTCTGGTTACTGATACTATCTTGTAGCATGCCATGTGTTTATCGTGGTGTGTTTATCTTCTTCATTCCAGAGCTGTGGGTAAAACATGCCTGCTGATCAGCTACACAACCAATGCCTTTCCTGGAGAATACATCCCCACAGTGTGAGTACCTCCGCTTCACGTCGGGGTCCTGATCACTCACTCGAGTTTATGTCACGATGACGCAACAGTGAATACTGAATTTTATATAATTCAAGTTATTATTGTGGATTAGCTTAAAGCGTCCTCTAGGAAAAGTTTGAATTGAATCAAGCTGGTCACTGCAACAATCTTACAATAATCTAGATATTATTCTTATTAATATTCAGACAGGAAAGTCAGAATGGTTAGGCAGCAGTGTAACAGTAAATTACACTATTCTAAAGGGCATTGGTATGAAAGCGAGAGACGACAGAGACATGAAAATAGCACCATCATTTTGCCGGGATAACAGGAAATATACTGAAATATTTTATTTCAGCTGTGATTCGGCCATTCATAATCATGTTTTCCAGAGAGATGTGCAATCAAGTATTCAGTGTAAACATTTAAATAAATCACTGAATTTGGAAACTTCCTTTGGACTGAAACAGTCTCTTGTTTTATTTAAATTCTGCATTTGTTTACAGTCAGCATTTCACACTCAGTTGTCACTGATTAACGTTCAGAACTGCATTGCCTTTCAACTGACAGATTTGATAATTACTCTGCAAATGTGATGGTGGATGGGAAACCAGTGAACCTGGGTCTCTGGGATACAGCAGGTCAGGAGGATTATGACAGACTCCGTCCTCTGTCGTACCCTCAAACGGTAAGAACCGCAGCCAGCCTTTTTAGAAACTAAAGAGAAGTGTCAAACAATGTGTTTCTTTACCAACCATTTTTCAAATGAAAACGTATACAATAACTTACTGTATACATGAAATTGAACGGACACCTTTGCCTTCACATATACATGTGGGCTCAACCTAAAAATCAGAAGAAAAGAAAAAAAAATTATACTTTGAATAACTAAAGGGAACTGTCTCTTTCCATGAAAGTGGACATCAATCTTGTTTGTCCACTTGCCAAGTTAAGGTCTCAGTTATCCTTCTCTTCTTGCTATTGTTTTTTTGTAGCTCACCTTTAGGCTGCTACTAAAATTGTTATGGCAGGTTTACTGTACTACCTTTTGAATGATCTTTGAGGTTGCAATAAATGAATGATTTACATTAGCTTTATATTGGTAATGCATACAGCCATACATGTTTGGACTATGAACTAATAGTGACTATATATAGCGACTCTGTAGTCAACAGGGTTTGCACTATAACGATTAGTCATGGATTAATTTTCTCCTGTCTGTTTTTCTGAATATAATTGTGTTTTATCATATACATTGTCACTTTTAACATTTCTTCAGATAACAGTCTGAGACATTGCTGGTAGACAAGCAAAGCTATGAGCCACTGCATAAAATGTACCACATATGAATGGTGCAGAGTGGATGTAAATAGTGGAAATGCACCTGTAAATCTCCATTGGTACATCATAAATGCTTTTGTCCCATAGGACGTGTTTCTCATCTGCTTCTCCCTTGTGAGCCCTGCCTCTTTTGAGAATGTTCGTGCAAAGGTAAGTACTTTTCAAAGTAGAAATAATTATTTCAGGTTTAGCACAGTGCATGCAGGACTGAAACCGCATGTCTATTTCTTACTCGTGCTGGTTGTTTTGGTCATTTTGAAATGTGTTGTGTGTTCAGTGGTATCCAGAAGTGAGACACCACTGTCCAAACACTCCAATCATCCTGGTAGGAACCAAGCTTGATCTGAGAGATGACAAGGACACCATTGAGAAACTGAAGGAGAAGAAGCTCACTCCCATCACCTATCCTCAAGGCCTGGCCATGGCCAAAGAGATCGGTAGGTGGAACCATGGCATGTTTAAAAATCTCATGAAAACATGTCCATTAATAAGTTATTTAATAAATGTAACAAATCTTTCACTTTAAAACCGCATTTTAAAGCAGTTGTTTTTCTTTATCCAATCAAGTTGTATATATACCTTTAGAATTATGCATTTAATATTTGCGTTTTCAAATGATTTTAGATGTAATTGTAACTGATTCCTTCATGTAGTTTTCCATACATTTGGGCTCAAGCTAAAAATCTGAAGAAAAGAAAAAACTAATTATACTTTGCATAACAAAAGTGAACCCTAATTTTAGGTTTTACTTTCATTAAAGCAATAAGCCCCAAGAAGCCGTGGTTTACAGTGAATTTATAACAGCTAAGGGGCGTTGTTAAAACCCCCTTAGCTGTTATAAATTCACTGTAAACCACGGCTTCACAGGGCTTATTGCTTTTATAAAACAGTTATTCCATATACGTAGTAAGATTTCACAAAATAAAACGGCAAATAAAGTGTAATGATATAAATAAAAACAGTATTCTTCCACCAAACAATATAGATCCTCAGAAACGGTTGTGGTTCCAACAAAGTGGTTGCCGAGCATAAGTAAACAAAGGGGTATGTTTGTAGAGTAATTTACAACAGCTTCGAACGTGCGCTCAACCAATCAGAATCAAGGACCGGAACTATACGTTTTATAATACATGTTTATTTTCAGTGGACCTGATTATTTTCAGAGTCTTATTAGACTTAGAATTTTTTTTGTTTAAAAATATTGAACCGTACAAGTGAATGCTTTTCGTGAGTTTATTATTACTTTTATATAGATTAAAGGTGTTAAGCCCAAAGGGATACTTGCGGTTTTCACAGTAGAAAGTGAAACTAAAGAGATGGAACAACAGCAGAATACTGATAGTGCACAAACAACAGATTCCCACATTGACGAGCACCTGTTTTGAGAGGGTTATGAGAGAGCTTTTCTTTAAAAGTGTACAATTATATTTTTTCAGTCATAACCTTTGGAGAAAAATAGCGCAGACATTGGACAACTATAAACTACAACACAAGCTTTACACTATACAAGTGCACAGACTTATAAATGTTCCACTTTACTCAGTTTTATAATACATGTTTATTTTCAGTGGACCTGATTATTTTCAGAGTCTTATTAGACTTAGAATTTTTTTGTTTAAAAATATTGAACCGTACAAGTGAATGCTTGTCGTGAGTTTATTATTACTTTTATATAGATTAAAGGTGTTAAGCCCAAAGGGATACTTGCGGTTTTCACAGTAGAAAGTGAAACTAAAGAGATGGAACAACAGCAGAATACTGATAGTGCACAAACAACAGATTCCCACATTGACGAGCACCTGTTTTGAGAGGGTTATGAGAGAGCTTTTCTTTAAAAGTGTACAATTATATTTTTTCAGTCATAACCTTTGGAGAAAAATAGCGCAGACATTGGACAACTATAAACTACAACACAAGCTTTACACTATACAAGTGCACAGACTTATAAATGTTCCACTTTACTCAGTAATGCGGACACTATTTAGTGTTTTTATGACGAGGCTTTCTGATTGGAATTCAGTATTTTCTCACACAAATCATGCTTATGTTAAAAATGGAATGGTTTGGGCTAAAAAGCTCTTGTCTTTTTATTTCGCAGGGGCTGTCAAGTATCTGGAGTGCTCAGCGCTCACGCAGCGCGGCCTTAAGACGGTGTTTGACGAGGCCATCCGGGCCGTGCTCTGCCCTCCCCCTGTCAAGAAGAGGAAGAGGAAATGCCTGCTGCTCTAGAGTTCTGAGGAAAGATTGCTGTGATCCAAACTGTATTTCTAAGGGGAGAAGTTAGAAATGAGACCATGTTTTCATTTTTCACTCCCTCCATTGTAATTACCAGTACAACTTTATACCCTCACAAAACTTTTATCAATATTATCAATAGTTGTAGTGAAAAATCGATCCCCAACCCATCTCCCTTAGACAGACACATACTATTGGACGACCTGCGGCCTTTGACTAATGGATATTAACTTTTAGATGGTTAACAATGTCTTGAAGTTGGTTCCTTCCATTGAGAACCCGTAAAGTTTGTTTACAGTCTTTGCTTGAAAGAAATGAAGATCTTGCCAAATAGCACTACATTAAGACGGGGCGGCCCTGCATACACCACATTTGTTGCTTTTTACCCCCTAAAGGTCTGCAACCATTTGGCAAACCAGAGCTAACTGTTGGCTACTGTGAAGCAAATGTGATGTGATATTTTTGAAAGTTTTACAGTGAAGTCAGCTTACCTCACACATGAAACATGAGGTTCTGTTAATGGAAGGATGAGGCGTCCGAACAGATTTTTATACTTCTTCATTTTGAAGTTATGTGCACACTATTTGCCATTTGTTTTGAGGGGGGTTATACTGTAATTTACGGCCACACTAATTATGCACAAAAACATGTCCAAGCCACATTTCACTCCTAAATTTGAGAAAACGTCATATTTTGCATTAAAAGAATGAAGCCTGTTTTTAGGACCATTTTCATCAATTAAATCTCCCTTATTACAATAGATTTTTTTTAAAAAGTATTTTCAAAAAACATATATATATATGTAATGATCCTAAAAATAGACTTTATTTTGTGTAATCAAAGTATAATCTCCATCTTTTAAGGTGAAACATGGCCAGGAAATTCGTGTTTTGTTGGTCCCAGTATGTCAAAAGCTCTCACAATTACCTGTATTGATACCTCCAAATATTTCCAGTCCCCAAATATCAGCGTCCTGCTTAGATGTTCAACAACAGCTTTTTAAAATATCTAATGGATCACACGGGACATTTAGTGTCAATCTTAATTTAGCGGTATATGAACACCTTGATGCTCTTTGGGCATTTATAATACACCCTCTACAGCCATATATATATATATTATTTTTTTGTTAACACATTTTTAGAAACTTTCTTCTTTTTGACACTTTTTATATTTGCTAATGTTACAAAAAGCAACAGACTACTGTCAACAGCGTACACTACAGGAATGAAGTAAATCTTCTCGATGCGGTTTATTCCCCTTATCGTTAATCACTTTTAATTAACATTTTACTTCTTACTGTCCTAGTAACATGTAACTGTCAAATGTGTTTATTTCCTGAAATCGATTGGTTGTCTTATTGATTCGAACAGCACATCATGTACAAGGTATTCTGACATTTAACACGATTGCATACTTACTTGAACTGTCCTGAGGCACAAATACAGAATGCGCATCATTTGTGATCACCCTATCGAGCGATTTCTATCTGCAGTTATAGCCAGATTGTAACCCTGTTTTTAGGGCTATTCACGATGAGTCACTTGTTTTACAGAGATAATAAAATACAATAAATTTAGATTAAACCCTAAAACATTTGTTTTGTTTCAATTATACTCCTTATGAAGCCCTGCCCTTTTCAGAGCTGCATTCATTCCCTGTTTGTATTTCCACTTGAGCAGTGAATTACTGGTTAAGTCTAGAAGGGATACAGCTATGGCTACTGGGCATTCGCACATCAATATAACCTACATTTTGTCACACTGAACGATGATAATTACTCTATTTACATAATTGTAAGAGGCAGGTTTAGGGTTGTGGTAGGTGTAGACATTAATAAAACAATCTAATAGGTAGAAAATGTAATTTATTGTTGGTTTCTGTCAAAAGCGATGCTATAGACCGCTACCGCAAAAACGAAGGTTCAAAGACAAAATTCTTAAGATGGCTGCACACTTGTTTCTCTGGCGCATAATGGTTGGATATGAAAAAGTGGAAGGCTTTTATGCACAACCCGTTTAACCTAAATCATGTGACACTGCTTAATAAAACTGTATATTCAATTTTAAAAAACGGGTGGGTGACTTTATTTTAGCCTTCAGTAGTTGATGGGGAAGTCGTGGCCTAATGGTTAGAGAGTTGGACTCATAACCCAAAGGTTATGAGTCCATAACCTTTGGGTCCTGCCAGACCTGAGTTCAAGTCTCAGGTCCGGCAGGAATTGTAGGTGGGGTGAGTGAATGTACAGCGCGCTCTCCCACCTTCAATACTGAGGCAATACTTGAGCAAGCAAACCCCCAACTGCTCCCTGGGCGCCGCAATGGCTGCCCACTGCTCCGGGTGTGTTCACTGCTGTGTGTGTGCACTTTGGATGGGTTAAATGCAGAGCACTAATTCCTAGTATGGACCATACATCACATCACACTTGATTAGATTGTACGGTTGGTGCAGGACCCCCAAAAGTGTGATTTGCAAACTTGCCACATGACTGGCGCCAGCAACATAAGAACATACAGTCTCAAACCCTTAATTAATGGCTATCCTGAGTGTTGAGGTCAAAGACAGTGAGGAATTTGACAGTGAAGTTTGGCAACCTTTTATTCACTATGTTGTGCACAGTTGATTCTGCTGTTTGTAACCAAAATAATATGGCAATGAATACATTACACCGTTCAATTCTGTACAGTTCAAGTCGAGAGAGTGGAGCTGTTAGTTGACGTTTCCGTCCACGTGTCGTAATAATGTCCCTGATGTTGTCTGTATGCTACAAATAGACATAAAAAAAAATCACATTTCAGACATCAGACCTTGTCCTCGCAATTACAAATCTATTCAACGATACAGCAGCCTTACCATTCCACTAACTCTGCTCCGATTATTTCATGAATGTGATACTTCATCTGGAATTTGACCTGCGAAGTTGTGCGGCGTCCTTCCAATTCCGTCTTGAGGACTTCACCGTATTTGGATTTCTTGACCATGCCGAGAACAGCTTTGCGTCCTGTTGGGAAAAAGAGACCAGATATTAAACCGTACCAAATGGAAACCCACTGCATGTGTGTCTTAACGTTAAAAACCCACCCTTAATGAAGTACTTAATGAATTTGCCAGAGTTTGGGATTGAAAGCCACCAGCTGCCCGCATCCCTCACAGTGAGGACGCCCGATTTCACCAGCTGCCTGCATCCAAACGCATCTTCAAATAAGCACCAGAGACAGTGAAAAACATATTAACATCTGTGTCCTTATCCTTACGTTATCTCCGAGTCTGTAAAGAGGAACTCTTTAAGCATTTTCTCCTTGTTGAAACTCAAATCGGAGCAGCTGGGAATTAGTTTGGCCAGAAATTTCTCTACAGTTCCCAGCGTTCCTCTGCCAGCTTCCCCCTGCAGGACTTTGGCTCTGTAATCTTCTGCAAACACTAAAGCGAAGGCCTCGGAGTCGAACCCCAGCTGGAACATCAACAGCTCGCCGTTTTCCCTCAACTCATTCTGACGAGGAAAGAGAGAAGACCAGAGCTTCGGAATGCGTTACGGTTATTATAAAAACGATCTGGCACACTTCGCCAAGATGAATATTTGTAGGTAGGCCTAAAACAATCTGATCTTACCACCTGCTTGTCCACTGCGGTTTTGTCGTTGTGTAAACTGTAGAGCTGGTGTTTTAAGACCACTGGTGGGAGGCTGTCGTTGAAGAGCTTGCGTGAAAACAGTGTCATGAGGTACTGCAAGCTTGACCTGATATCAGCTGCTCCATCTGCTGAACAAACGCCATACAGCATGGGTATTCTCCAACTCTGATGGGACCCCAGCATTTGTGTATGGATTTGTAGCAGTTACATATTGTATAGTGTAACATTTAAAGCCTGTATTGTGTAGCATGTGTATAGTAATATATATTAATATAGTGCTGTCAAACGATCGATAATCGCATCCAAAATAAAAGGTTTTTTTACATAATATGTGTGTGTGTACTGTGTATATTTATGATGTATATATAAATACAAACACATACAGTATATTTATATATTAGATATATATTTTTAATATACAAATTTTCTTAAATATATACGTGCTTGTGAGTGTATTTATATATATATATATATATAAAAATACACTCACAAGCACGTATATATTTAAGAAAATTTGTATATTAAAAATATATATCTAATATATAAATATACTGTATGTGTTTGTATTTATATATACATCATAAATATACACAGTACACACACATATATTATGCAAACAAAAACTTTTATTTTGGATGCGATTAATCGTTTGGCAGCACTAATATATACATGCCTTATGGTCTTAGCAAAGCCATTAAAACAATCATTATACTGACGTACAGACTGATACACGTTCGTACATTTTATTTTAATTGCACCTAATGTGGTAAAGACTAAACATCAGCTTTGTGCTGGTTTAACTTTAATTAATATTGTATTTTTGTTTAATCCATATATATATATATATATATATATATATATAATGTGTAGAGACAACTATATACTACTGTTCAAAACGTTTAGGCTCGGTAAGATTTTTCTTTTTGAAAGATATTCATACTTCTATTCAGCAAGGATTCATTAAAGTAAATTGACAGTAAAGACAATGTTACAAAAGATTTCAGTTTCTAATAAAACACTGTTCTTTTGAAATGTCTATACATCAAAGAATCCTGAAATTAGATAGATAGATAGATAATACAGTGTACATAATCGGAGAATGATAACGTCAAAAAATAAATCATAGCATGCATACGTTTAATATTAAAATTTTGCATTTATCAATTATTTATTCATTGGTTTTGGATGAATCTTAGCAGAAATATTAATCTTATGATAATAAATCTCGAGACAACTTAAGTATTATTTAAAGGAGGACTTTTTAAATGGTACGTCTACTTTATACTGCGCCGTCTCAATCTAATACATGAATGTCAAGTGTGTTTTTTGGTTTTAAAGGCAACATGAGGGTAACGTTCAATTATAGAGCAGAAATAAGGTCTTACCTTGACTGTCTCCGGTAACGCTGTCAGCTGCACATCTGCGTCTCTTCGTTAAACAGAAGGTGTCTGCGATCAGGGCTCTTTTTCGGTTCATCTCTTACTGATTTTAAGCACTGCCACTCCTTTATTTAACTGTTTTCCTCATGTAACGTTACCTAGCTTGTATGCTAGCTGAGAACAGCGCAAGATGTTTATATATTTAACATTTCCCTGCCGAAGCGACAGAGAAACACAGTTTTTGTTTTCAGAAATATATATATTTTTATAAGTGCTACTCTTTTAACTCTTGGGTTTAAATGTTTGTTGACAGTTCATCAACAGCTGACTGCGACTCTTCTTCTTCTTCTTCTTATTTTTCTTCTTCTTCGTCTTCTTCTTCTTTTTCTTCTTCTTCGTTGTTTTCCGGATGAACTGCACGCCTCGGCTGCTCTCTGGCGGTCTGCATTAAAACAACACGCAAGCGCCATTCAAGAAGAAGGACGTTTATTGTCATCTAAAACGCAGATCTACAATATCTCACTGGGAAATTGCTAGGCATCTTATACAAAAATCTTAATAACTCTGTTTTATTTGTATAGGCCTAGAAGGGGGGTTTAAAACAACTTGTGTAGGCCTACTTGGTGCCACAAAACCTTGTCCTCACAGCCAGGGGCAAAATGAGCCAGCACTTTTTTTGACATACTCTCACAAAAATCAATGTCATGTGGTCACAGATAAATTCATATTTTAAATACTGAACAGACTGATTTTTTTTATTTTTATGATTAATAACTTTTTATTTGCAAGAGTCTACATTTAGAGGTTCAAAACGTTACCATAACAGATAGATTAACATTATAAACAACACCTGCAGGAATGACCTGGAATGCTACACTGCAGTGTTGTTCGCAGTATTCATTTGCGATAACATAGCAAGAACTATTGGAACACAGCACCCATTTTAATTATTTCATTTAACTATTTGAAAATAAGTTAAAACAAGGTTATCTAATGCTATTAATAATGACAAGTAAATAATACATTAAAACATCAGCATGTATCATTTAAATCTTTTTTTCAGTTAAGTAATCATTGCATTAAAAAAGATTAAAGGGGTCATATGATGTTGCTAAAAAGAACATTATTTGGTGTATTTGGTGTAA